GGTGGGTCGACCCCTCCCCCACCACTCAATCAATCAATCAATCAATCAATCAACGGAAAAAAAAAAAGAAGGCAAAATCAAACGAATCTTCCGCTAGAACATGAAATATACAATACTGCGTGTGTGTGTGTGTGTGTGTGTGCGCCTGCGGGGTGTGTGTGGGCGACCCCGCCCCCACCAATCAATCAATCAATCAATCAATCAATCAATAGAACATGGGAATATACAATCCTACCTCTGTGTGTGTGTGTGTGTGCCCCTGTGGGGTCAATCAATCAATCAATCAATCAATCAATCAATCAATCAATCAATCAATCAATCAATCAATCAATCAATCAATAAACGGAAGAAGAAAAAAACGCGCTGTTGTTTTTATTTTATTTTTTTTTAAAATACCTTCACTCACCGAAACCCTTCCCCCAAAAAATTATTATTATTATTATTATTTTCTTTGAGGGGGTGGGGCTGGGGATGCGCCGCCCCATGGCACTTCCCGAATCCTGAACCAGGGTGAAACCCCCCTCCCCACTGGCCGCTATGCGGCCGCAAAGGCAGCGCAGCCGAGCGGACACGTCCGCGGGGTCGCGGTCTATGCCGCGGCCGCGGACTTGTCCGCGGACGGCCGCCGCCGAGGGGCATTCATAGACGAGCACACACACACACACACACACACACACACACACAATCAGTTGACTGGGCCTTCCGGTCCTTTTTGAGCAAAGTGAGGGAATGCTTGGTCGGAAAAAGAGGGGTTTGTCGGCCCCATGAGGAAAAAGAAAGAATGAGAATACAGCGCGTCCAACACAACGGGATAGCCCTTTATAACCCCAGTGCGCACACTTGAGAGAAACAAACCCTTTGGAGTGAAGGATAAAATCGAACGGGGTATGATGAAATTAGTGGGGTGCTTCCGAGGATACCAGGTGAGTCAGAAAAGAAGTCTAGAGAGACAAAAAAAGAGGACTGCGGTAGGCGAGGGAATGGGAAACAGTGAGAAAGGTTGAATAAATAAGCGAAGGAACAGTGGGAAGGCCCTCTTCAATCATTTTTGCTATCAGGAAAAAAACAGAGGAACGTCTGCGCGACGCGTCTCTGTTTTTCACCTGAAAGTGGAAGTGCTACCTTCGTAGTTTCCGAGAGTCGGGTTCAACGGAAGGACACGAGAACGTCGCCACCTGATCTTTTTACAAAGAGATAGAGTTTCGGAGTTACCGGAGACGTGCGTCATGGATGGGCCTATGTCTTTGGATGAGATGCTGTCAGTACAGGATACGGTGCTTGCTGAGGAGACGGACGAGGCCCCAACGCAAGTAATAGCTTCAATCGTAATCAACTTAGCGGATATATAATCCTCACTACAGTTTGGATGAATGACTTACCTTTGTTCCCCAAAAGCAATTTGAATCAGATGTTTGTGCTTTGCATACTGTTTTACCCTCTGATGAGTGAACTGGTGGCTGGTTGACGAAAAACGCGTTTTAGGGAGTAGCCACGATCCCCAGCTATGTATCTTGATGATCGTTCCAGCCTACCCGACTCTGGGTAATATGGCAGGAATTAAGCTTATGTCGAACACCTAACAATAGTCTTGTTAAATTACTATGTATGTATGACCTTATGGACTGTTCGATGTTAATTACTTTATTCGTATTCTCTTTATTGTGTGTGTGCATGCGAGGCCTCATTTCAGCAAGCTATTGGACCAGTTGTAGAAGGACTTCAATCGAGGACGTCGTGAAGTGTGGGAGAGCAATGAGTCCATGCATATGTGTGAATTTGAGCGCACGATGCTGATGTCATATAACGTAGTGGCATGGATAGAGGACTAAGTGCAATGAGCTATTACGATATGTGAGTAGGAATCTTGGAGAGGGTATGAGGGAGTAGAACATGCGTGGCGCTTGGGATCTATGGGAGTGTTTGAAGGGGGTAGACGCGGAGTAAGAGGCAGTGAAAACCATATGCTAGGAAGCATTATGGAGAATAAGAGTAGAAAGGAGGTTGCTATTGTTTCTTGAAAAAAGAAATTCCGTACGCTAATGATGTTGAGTAGATATTGGTGATAAATGAGGTATATCTAAGTGATCGTTGGCTCGGTATGCCTCATATTGTGGAAACATTGTTTCTTCTCAGGACTTTCATCAGAATATGTATGGTATTCACGTTCCTGCTTTCTTAGATAACACAAGATTGGAATTTTTTTTTTTTTTTATACGTAGCTTCCCATCTTGGTTTGTAGAGAATTGCCTTGAAGTTCACGGATTGCCTGTTGTATATGCCATGATGATATGTGTTGATTTGTTTTTCAAAAAATGTCGATCAAAACGAGGAGGACAGAGATAATGCTTTATGTATGTCAGGAGTAATTATTTGATTTATGTGAATCTATTTCGGTACCCTGGGAGGTGACGATTCGGAGTGCCTTATAACACTGGAGAGCAGCGTTCGCGCATATACTTACGTACACACACACACACACACACACACACACACACGCACACACACACACACACACACACACACACACACACACACAATCAATCAATCAATCAATCA